TCATCCGGGGGTCCTGCCACCGCAGCGGCCTCCTTCTCCGACACCGCCATGGGCTGCGGTTCTTCCTCTCCGGCTGTAATTTCAGGCTTCTCGGCGGGACCCTTGGAAGCTTCTACAGAAACCGAAGCAGAAATAATAGTAATAGCAGAAGACGAGGACTCTTCTTCTTCTTCTTCTTCTTCTTCAGGAGCAGGAGCAGCAGCAGCAGAGTCCTTGGAGGGATGTGGAGAAGGGTTTGAATCATTCATCTGAATAGAACCGAGAAAAGGCCCAAAAAGCCCTAATATATATATATATAGAAAGAGATATAGTTGAAGATAATTAAATTAATGGAATTGTGAGCAATGGACAGACAAGTGGAAGGAAAGTCGCAATTGAGGGCGACAGGAAGCACTGTGTGTGTGTTGTGCGTGTTTGTGTGAAAGATGCTTTTGGGCGTAGGAAAGAGAGGGATGTGGAAAAGTGGGGTTAGGGTTTGAGAGTGAGTCGGAGCCAAGTGAGCAGATTCCAGGTGTTCGGGGGGTGGAGAAAAAAAGGGCACAGGGACCAATTGTGGGAGAGGAGTACTTGTTCTGCTGTTTTTTGTTTTCTCTCTTCTGGGTCAATATTTTCTTCTTCCTTTTTTTTTTTCCCCATTTGTTGGAGGGCCATGCTTGATTGCTTGGGAGATTATTTGAGATAATTTTGTGAAAAAAAATAATGTAATACTTTTTTGATATGATGTGTATAAGATAAAAAAAATGATTGAAAAATATATTGATAATACAAGTAAGTTCGTGCGTGTAAATAAGATGTAAATAATATGCAATCCAGACAATCTTTTTCTGTTGGAAAACGGTTGAATGGCTGACTAATTAGGGCACAATATTGTATTCTTGTTCATTAGTACTTTAAGAAAAAAAAAAAAAAAAGAATTGGATCCATTGATTAGTTTATGATTAAAATTGTAATGCAGTGTCTCTCATGGAAGGTAGAGAAAGCTATTTTCCTCTAAAAAATTTTATTTTTTTTTAACATATTTTTTAATCACCTTTTTATTTCAAATAATTCAAATTATTACAGTAAATTTTTCTAAAAAACCTCTTAAAAAAAATAGCAGTACAAATGGATAAATTTCTCCACATGGACAATAATAGTTGTCGGTAGCTACTCTGCATGTACCTGCAAATGTGCTCAAAATTCAGTTTAACAGCAAATTACTATAGTACATTTTACTACAAAATAGCAGTCCAAATGGATTAATTTCTCCACAGGGACAATTATAATAGTTGTCGGTACCTAGACTTCATGTACCTGCAAATGTGCTCAAAATTCAGTGTAAGAACGAAGCCCTTCACAATGTAAGAAGCTCTTTTCTGGGGCGAAAGAAGGAACTTGCTGACCTTTGTACTAAAGTTAACTTGCATGGGCATTTCAAATTGACGTATCTTGTTAAACCTGTTACTAAGCCTTTTTTTGTGGATCAAAACACTCTGAAGGCAGCCTGAACCACATCTATCTGGACCAGTAATCAAGCCCAACTAAGTTTGTTAAGTAAATTTTAGCCACCAGTGCCACCTACCTTCAACTGAGCCCACCACTGAGAATTCCTTAGGGCTATCAATGGATCGGGGCTTGGCCCGAACTCAACCCAGTCCAATCTGTTTTTCCTGTCAGGGGTCCTAGGGCCAAGCTTGAGAATTCTAGGAGGACGATTCTTCCAAATGTAGCAATAACGGTTGAGATCCAAGCACAAAATACACTCTACTTTTAAAACATTTGAATATAACAATTTAATAATAAATAAGACATAAGTATAAAAGATAAACGATACAATATATAATGTGGTTCAACTCCATCATTGAGTTTACGTCATGGTATGAAAGATAAACGTCACATAAAATTTAACGTGCTCAATTTCATCATTGAGCTTACGTTGTAGTTCTTTATTATGAGAGAAAAACTCTATATAAGAATACAACTTGAACTCAATTTAAACCCTTGTATAATTTTTCATTTTTCAAGAACCCTTTTTTACCCCATATATAAGGATACATGTCACATTTATGTGTCATTTTATAGTATGCCAACCTCCACCCATTTATAAATTACATCATTTGACTAACACCCAAGTAATAACTGCTAATTTCTAATTTCATACGGAATAAAAAATAATTTTTAATTCCTAAACTCATACAAATAGGAAATTCTTTGGTCAAACAATTGGGAAACTAGTTACTTCTACGCAGAATAAAAAAGCTGTCTACAAAAAATTAAGTCAATTTCTTAGCAGTAACATGCTCACTTTTCTATCTTTTCCCATCCAAGATTTTTCTTGGTCTAAAATGCTCTTTCACCGGTTCAATGGAAGATCCTCATACGTCTCTCCATTCTACCATACTATTAATACTTTTCACATCTATAATTCATATCTTTACCTTTCATTTCTCAACTCTCACACGAAACATGTAATCTTTTATTGTTTTCCCAGCTCTGTTATTTGGTTACCAACTAAAATAATTATGACTGACTGCTTGTGTATAGATAGAAGATCATTTGAGATAATTTTTCTACAAAATACACTGTAATACCCTTTTAATGCGATGTACATGAGATGAAAAGTTGATTGTAAAGATAAAAAAATATATTAATTTAAAAATATATTTATGATACAATTAAATAATTTTTTATAAGTAGTAATAAACTATTCAAACATACTCTGTTTGTTTGTTCATCTCGGGATTGATAGTAAACCATTTACCCTGAAAATGGTAATCCTGTAACATAAGGTTAGAAATTTAGAGTGAAATTGCAAATCAACTCACTCTGACTGACTCGATCTCTGGTCACCACAATTCACTTGACGAATGGTCGCCCAATTGCATTTGCAACACAAATTTCCAAACGCATTATCACGAAATTCTTTGTCCAACTTCATCAAAATTTTCTACGTTTTTCTTCTCATGATTGCGAACATAGCCACGTCGATGCAAACCAGTTGGTGCCCTTTGTCATGTTAATAGAATTGGACACGATGCCCATTTTTCTTGTCGGTTTTTGTGGAACTTGAAGTCAATAATCGTCATCAATCTAGTGCTTTGATGGTATTGTTGGACTGCGTTCAATACTTTTGAAAAATGTAATTATACAAATACACCTTGTCATCTTATCTATTTCTTCCTTTCCCTTATTTTTTTCTTTGTTTTGGCCTTAATGCAAGCAGCAAACTTTTAGAGAGTCCGGGGAGACGGTTAGGTTGATTGATGAGATGGAAGTTTTGGCTTTAATGCCGAGACGGGCAGCTACCGTTCAAAAAGTTCGGAGAGGGTTGGGTTTGTTGATAAGTTAGAAGGAATTATAAGCGGTAAATATTGAATTTAAAATATCTCATTTAAAACAAAACCCATTAGAAACTCCAGCCTATTTCAAATTCTGGTTTTGACTTCCATGAAAATTCTAGGCATTTGTTGTGGTCAAAGGTTCATTTAATTTCCAAACTTCGAAGGCAAGTACTTATCCCTCTGACCTAAATCCATAGGTAAGCATCTGATCATTTTTCTGCAACTGACGTAATTGGGAAAATAAAAATAGTTCACGTGGGGCAGTGATGGATATTTATTTAATTTACTAAACCGAAAAGCTCGATGGAATGTAGACCATTTCCGCAAACTAATGATCACTTGAAAATTGAAAACAAACAATAATCTTTGTCCTTTAATAAATAGTTTATTCAAACCAAACTTCTTCATATCACCATCAGATAATTAGAAGAACCACTAAATTCCTGTGTGAAAAAAAAAGGAAAAAGTCAAACGTAGTGTCAAGAAAAAGGAATAAGTCAAAAAATGAAAGCCATATTATAAAACCCATGAAAATACAAAAGAGATTAAAGAGAGGTCTGTTTAACTGAGGCTTTGCAGGGCAGCTAGAATTTGTCTTTCCATGCAGTTTCGTGAGATGGGAAGCAGTGTAATAGGCGACTGCCCTGCAAAAAAGAATCCCAATCCAAAAATGTTTATTAAGCTTGTTCACATTATGCTAAAGCTAATCACCTTTTGACTTTTCATCAAATTTGTATCTAACAAATATTATAACAAACAGGTGAAATTTTTCAATGCAGCAGTTGTACCATGCTAAATCATACTGTAGAAGCCTAGAAGATGTGTTCCATTTAAGAATGAAAAGATATAACAAAAGGTGTCTTCACATTCGAGAATCAAAAGATATAATAGTATAACTCAAAATTCGTTCAAGAGCTCTAAGGTCTCGTTTGGATTGTTATCGTTAGGAGTTTTTGTAGAAAAATATACTATAGTGATTTGATACATATAAGATAAAAAAGTGATTGAAAAATATATTCATGAAAAACGTAATTTTTTTTTTGTTTTTTACAGAAAATTACGATCCATGTCTAGACTACCTAAGTCCATGCCATATATAGGAAAATTTTGTACGAATTTTAAAATTCGACACAACATTTGTATAACTCATCAACTTCCAAAAATAGTGGAGTACTTAATTCGAGTCTAAGGTCTCTCTCCGTGTTCTTTTTCTTGCTTAGAGTTCTATTTTTTTTTTTAAAAAAAAAAATCTTTTTATTATGTAGAAGCTTAGGAGGAGGGAAGGTTGGTCTCATTCTAAGGTCAGAGCATATTATTGATGCACTAAATAATCATCCCAAAGACTTAGCATACGTTTGCTAAAATTGAAATTTAAAATCTGAAATTTAAAGTATCAATTCATTAAATTATTGAATTATGAAGTACAAAACTAATATATATATGTTTGAATATATATCAAATTAAGTGGCAAGTGAATGATTTATAATTTATTTTTGGAAGTAAATTTTGCCTAAAAAATTTATTATTACATAATTAATTTAAATATTTAATTTTTGGTGTCATTTAATTGATTGAGACTCGAATCTATTAAATTTAACAATTGAATTTATTTATCAAAAAGGCTTAAAGTGGTGCGGGCGCACCTACCAAACAGCGTTATTTGATTTCATATACTGGAGACTCAGCATCTAATCTTTTGGAAATTCCTAGGATTGTTTTGCTCTTCCTATGCATGGTCCTATGTTTGGAAGTCCAGACGCGCTTGGTAAAAACCAGAAAAACCCAATAAAAGCCCCAAATGTTGGGCAAGAAAGTTCCGGTGGCTGAATCCGAGTAAACTTGAGTTGGGGACAGCAAGAAGAAGAGCAAAGTAAAACACCCGTTGGTTGAGTACAGCCGGCCAACCTGGGCACGTGCAAATCCGGAGGTCACTTTCAGAGTGTGTCACCAACACCCAGTGAAAAGTGTAGACACACACAATAGACAGTCAGTCACGGCGCGCAAACCTTCTAGCTTTAGTTTGAATATCCATTGTCCATATATACGAGTTAAAGAGTTAGTAGCTTCGGACCAAATTTTGGTCAAGGTGGAAAAACGCTGATTATCTGGGAGTAGGGGGCTGGTGGAGAGGGATGACTCCTGGCCATTTCACACGAAAACCGTCTAAGAAACCATGTCGTTTTGAACCCTTTCAGTTCATTCCTATATATTCATTTCTTGCAAGTCTTAGCTTTTTACAAATCCTTAATTACTATTCTCCAAATTCCTCCTCGGACACTGCTGGTTGAACCCTTTTTAGCTAACAATCTAACCTGTAAGTTTACTCTGATCTTTCAAAATTTGTTCCTCTTAAAATTTTAGTATTTGGGTTGAATTTTGTATGTTCCATTGAATTTTTTTTTTTTGGGGGTTCATTCTGGATTTCTTCTCCCTCCACCCCCACCCCCCAACTCCCGGCCCCCGGTCCAAAAAAAAAAAAAAGAATTATGCATAATTTGCTTTTTCCGTTGAGCAAGATTATATATATATTTTCTAGGTGGTCTTAACTTATCTTTGAGCAAACTTATCATATAATTGATTGGGAAGTAGTTGAGCTAAGCTCAGCACTACTTTGCATTTGGTTAATTAATAATGGATTATGCCGCAGATTTTTTAACAAACGAAATAAATATTGTCAGCCCAATTGAAAATGCAAAGCCAGGGTCTTCATTTACATGTAAGTAGATGAAATGGTTCGAGTGATGTCTTCAATTGCATCGGTAATTAGTGATGCTCTTTTTTATATATTTTTTCTTGTTTCTGAATTTTGCCAAAGGGCGTTGCTTTGTGCTCTTTTTAAATTTTTTTAAAAAAACTTGATTAGTGTTTTAATATTAGGAAGCTGTTCTTGTTATATAAAGATTTGATTGATGCTATAGCGTCTTCACTTTCTTGTTCAGTGCATGATTGGACGCTTTAGACATATTGAGGAGATGGATGGTCACGGTTGCAGAAAATGAATGTGAGAGGCTTTATGATCGGATTTTGAAATTGCTATCATAAAGCTGCAGAGGGACATGGGTTGTTGCTGCTTTGGTGCCTCTAGTACCAAGCAGAATAGGGCTAACTATTTTTCTCGTCCACACACGGGTGATGCTGAAGGTGAGTGCTTTATTACAGTTTAGACATCATAGATGTTAGTGTTGTTTCTTACTAGTTTCTTTTATTTGCCTTCCAGAATATTTTTCATGGACGTTTTTTGCAGCATAGAGAAGAGACATCAGATTGTTTGCTTTAATTGTCAATTTCTTTGACGTTGGGATTTTCTTTTGTTTTCATGTAAATGAATTGCTGGTACATTGTTCTCAGAATCATGATATTGTTGGTGAATTCTTTTTATTGTATATCAGTTTTCAACATTTTTACATTATCACAAATGGTTGGTACTTTGAACAACATAAAACCAGTCATCAAAGTGCATATTGACTAAACCCTAAGATGCTGATCAAGGCAATGGTGTCTGGCAGCATGAAGAATTTTTATTTCATCTGTGAAATTGTGGTAAGCTAAACATCAAAGTCTGAAATTTTCTTGGTCATAAGCTTGTTATGTGATGCTGTTGAGGGGCTTTTAAGAGGTTTTCTAAGTTCTTATGCCTTTTAGGATAACTATTTCAAACTAGATCATAAAAGATGCATCTTTCTCTTTTCTTGTAGCTTAATGATCATTCTGAGATGCGGTCAACCTAAGTACAGAGATCTACTCAATCACCTTTAGGGTTTGAGATAGCAACATATTCTTACTTGCGGTTTCTTTCCGACTTTGTTATCCTACAGATTGATGACTGCGCTGGATGCCATAATCAGCATAATAGTTTCAATAATGCTAAAGATTAAAACCAACAAATGCATTAATCTTTTTTTCTTACCAATTATTGATCGTGTGTCAAACTTGTTAATATTTTTGCTACAATCAGTCTTTTTGCATTTTTTCAGAACCAACAAATAAAATTATGAGCAATCTAGCTTAATGAATGTGTATTGGAACCATAGTTATACCTGACAACTTAGAAGGACTAACTGAAACTTCTTTCAGTTCAGGAAAATTTCAAGCTGTTATCTCACTTTCATACTTAACATTGCAGAAGTCAACAATAATTATGTCTTTGAATTTTACTTTTTTGACTTTCCAACATCTGTTTGCCAGAAATGATTCTTAAATTGTTCTGTTAACAGGGATTTTACTTGGTAAGACAAAGAACTTCTCAATCAATGAATTAAATGCAGCAACAGATAACTTTCATCAAAGCAATAAGATAGGGCGAGGAGGATTTGGGACAGTTTACAAGGTATTTGCAGTTGCTATAAGTTTCTCAGATGAAATTATCTCTTGTTCATGCTGCCATATATTGTTCACCGAATTACATCCTGAACTGCCTAATAGGAAGTCTGGATCTTTTCATGAATTTTTCTGCGAGTAAAATAATACAGAGAGGGCTTCCTATGCTTGATGTATTATATAATTTGTATCAGTGGCATATGGCTCAAATGCTCCACTGGAATTCTGTTTTTTACTATTTAAAAGAAAGAGTATGAGGAACGCGTAGATTGATAATATAATACATGGAGTTACATAGGTTCTTTTATTTGTGAGTGTGTACATTCGTAAAAAAAGATGCTTGTTTCCATAGGAGTCACAAGAATTCATCTTCATGCTAAAGTAGTTTGGATTGCCCAGGAAGTTTTTTTTTGCCAATACAAACAACTATATTTGGCTTTCCAGTTGAGAAGCATATCTCTCATCTTCTCTGGAACTGTTAGATTTGACTTGACTTTGTTAACCATGCTGAAATTTCTTAGGGAAAACTGAAGAATGGAACTCCAGTTGCTGTGAAGAGGCTTTCTGCTTTCTCGAAGCAGGGTGTGCGTGAATTTTTGACTGAGATTGAAACTATATCAAATGTTCAACATCCAAACCTTGTTCAGATGATCGGATGCTGTGTACATGGACCTGACAGGATACTGGTCTACGCGTATTTAGAAAACAAAAGCCTTGATAATGCACTACTTGGTATTTGAAAATTTTTGCAAGAACTTGGAATTCATGGATAACTAATGATCCTCAATTGAATATTGAATACTTTTTCCATTTTGTAGGTAGAAGTAGGGCTGTAAATCTGGAGTGGAGCAAAAGAACAGCTATCTGCATGGGCACTGCAAGGGGTCTTGCATATCTTCATGAAGAACTTGTGCCACACATAGTGCACCGAGACATTAAAGCTAGTAATATACTTCTTGACAAGGACTTTGCGCCAAAAATTGGAGATTTTGGGTTGGCTAAACTTTTTCCGGATGACATAACCCACATCAGCACGAAAATAGCAGGGACAACGTATGTCTCCTCTCCTGTTGATAGTAGAAGTTTTCACTTGCATACAATATAGTTCTAGAAACTCTGTTTGCTCTGTCACGTAACACTAAATTTTTGCATTTATTCATCCTTGGAAGACTATTGCTAAGTGTTGTATTGTATAGATTGGTCTTGTTAAAACATGCTTATGAATCAATGCTTTGTGCGAAATGGATATGTAGAGATTGGAAGAATTGCTTTTCAGATCCTAGAGGTGGTTCTTCTACTAAAGTCCAGTAGTAATTTTCTATAACTGCAACATTTGGCAGAATCAGTTGTCATTGTGTGACTGGCATGAGTTACAGAATCTATTCTAACTGCGTTGGGTCTATCAAGGATTGTAGAGTCAGTTTGGTCTTTAAATTTGGAGAGTTCCCAATGTTAAATTTTTTCTGAAATTTACCCTTCAATTATCCAGAGATTTGAAGAAGTTGAAACCCAAATTTTATCTAATCTTCAGCGTCCATTTGTCAACTGTGGAAGTTGTGTTCATCTAATGCATGTATCTAGCTCTCGTGTTTTTCAAGCAGGGGTTACTTCATCCTTTTTAACTCTTTCATGTTTTTCAAGCAGAGGTTACCTAGCGCCTGAATATGCATTGGGTGGTCAGCTAACAATGAAGGCTGACATTTACAGCTTTGGTGTGGTAGTACTTGAAATTGTAAGCGGTAAGAGCAGTTCAAGTTCATTCTGGGGAGGAGCACGGAAATTACTTCTGGAAGAGGTATCTAAAATATCTCAAGTTTCATTGCAGCTTCACATCTCATTTGCTGTTATTCTGTTATTCATGTGAATTTGCTTGCTGCTAGTCATGATTTTTATTCAATTAAAAAGCAGCATTACCTAGGTGTGTGTAGTCACATGATATTAACCTGCCAGAACTTTCCCCATTTTAGAGGTGTTGACTGTTCACAATAATGTCTAAAGAAGTTAACCAAAAAGCTAAGAAGATCCTTTAGAAAATGGTGCGCGTCTCACTTTTGAAATTTATAGTGACTTTTTATGTAAGGTTTGGACTGTACCTACACTATAGATCATAGGATATCCTGCACTAATTGTGGAGTTTTCGTGCCCTGTTGTTTACATAATGATTGCTGGAAGTATGAGAATTATTAGTTATGAGATGTTCTTTTTGCATCTGCTTGCCAGTTCCTTTTGATGATCATACTTTCTAGTATAGAGAATGTAGAAAACTTGTACTTCCACATCATTTCTGGCACTGGGGACTGTGTATATGAAAAATAAGTTTTTATTTTCCCCTTTTCTTTTGGGACTTTTTACTATTCTGATGGGCTTCTGATATTGGAATTAAATAACCTGATTAGGAGTCCTTTAGAAGTGAAGAAAAATGGCAATACATATTTGCATAACATTACAGAAATAAGTAGATCAGGCTTAGAGAGAGGCACCACTTGCAGCTTTGTGGGGGGTAGGAAATTGCTTAATCAACTTTTGATCTTAAGGGATTAAAAGAGTTGCAAAGATCTGTCTTACTAATAGTGGAATGGATATTCCTGATTATTATCTATAAAATTGGCTTGTTTAAAAGAGATTTAATATTCCTAGGTTTAACTTGATAGTACGACTAAAAATTGACACATTTCAGAATATGTAGAAAGTGAAGAGAATCTTGTAGAGGAAAAAGAAATCACATCATCAGAATTTAAGAAGTCAAACATAAAACTAGTAAACAATTGATGAAACCTTATCATGAAACTCTTCAAAAACTTCTTTTTTTTTATTTTAAGATTTTGATTTTTCCAGTTCTGTTAAATTGCATCTTATAGCTTGTATGTGGTTCTTTAGGCAAATGGACATTGCAATCACATAGAATATAGTTAAGTACATAATAGAGAATACAGATGTGCATGTAAGCGTGATGCATCTGGAGATAGTAGGTCTATTTAATTGTGCTTTGATGTGCCATATCAACAAGGGAGAAACCTTTGATGGTGCTGAGTCTCCAAACTCTCTTAAGGCCATTAGTTAGAATGCATGCTTGAAGAGTACATTCTGATAGATTTTGGCATAGTTGGCCACTATAGTAGTAATTGCCAACAGGGCCTGCCCTTTTAGCGAGTTTACCATTGGTTGGTTGCATCCATCAATGGCAACAATCGAGAAAACGTGGGGTATATTGGATTTTTGGTTTCAGTTCATTGATGACAACAACATGAAGACAAACATTTCAAAATCATGCCAAATGAGGTTAAGGGGACAAAAAGGGATTAATCTTCAGACTAAATCTTGGAAGAGTACCAAGAAAACAATGAACTAGAGGCCAAGGAACTCTTTTTGACAAATTGTCCGCGCCTCATGCCTGAACATCGAACAGGGGGAAAAGGAACGAAGAAAAAGAAAACAGCAGATGCAACCTGACCTTTGTTATAAATATCTTTGTAACACCTCAAACTTAAAACTGCCTTAGATTCAATTGGATGTAACCATAAGTTAGAAACAACAGGGAGACCTTCTCGCTAGCCAATAGAGAAACATGACAAATGTGACCCTAGAATAAAACACATAAACTGAATACCTTGGTCTAAACTCTAGTCATCAGAAAAGGTAAATCTAGTGATGAAACATATAATCCTTATGGTACTTTTGCTGATACAGCTCCTGCTATGTCTACTCAGGTTGTTACTATGTTTTGTTATAGTTGAATTGCCGCTGAACTCTCTCTCTCTCTCTCTCTCACACACACACACACACACACATTTACGGACTAATTGAATTTCTCTGTATCCTCATTTTGTAAGTATCCAATTGTATGGTTTTGCTTATAGCGTTTGGTTGAAGACACGGCCTTTTTCTTCTTGAATTGTTTTATTGGGTCTGCACTCCAGCTCCGAATAAACTTACCTGCTTTTATAGGCATGGCAATTCTATGAAGAAGGGAAGTTGTTGGAGTTAGTTGATCCAGAACTGAAGGAGTTTCCTGAGCAAGAGGTCCTTAGGTATATGAAGGTAGCCCTTTTCTGCACACAAGCTAAAGCGCATCGAAGGCCGTTGATGAGCCAGGTTATAGAGATGCTCTCGAGAGACATCCGGCTTAATGAGAAGGAACTTACACCCCCAGGTTTCTTCCAAGAATCAGGTGGGCTTAGTAGCTTACAGTCAAAAGAGAAGTCGTCTGAAGGCTCTACTAGCTATCAGATGAGCTCTGTTCCTGTCACTATCACTCAGGTCAAAGCTAGATGAAAATTGATTCCAGGGTCCGATATTTACTCCAGGATGGCAGAGGGCACAATTTAATCGAGTGTCAAACAAGAAATTAAAGTTATACAAAACTAGGAAGTAATCAGGAGTAATTTCTTTTTCAGATTAATGTGCTGCTTTCTTGAGTTTCTTCTTCCTCTTATTTGATTTTGAGGTTTTATTCACTTGGGCCTTAATATGTTGGCCTTGATTCATTTTCAGATGGGGACACAAAATAAGAAAAAAGAGTTTCATTGGGGGTCTGAGGGAAGTTACGTAGAGCAGTGTATGGGTCATTATCGAGACAAATGACACTGGTAAATCGAGTATATAATTCAGCTGCATTTAGTGTTTTTCCAGATGCTGCTATAATCTAAGGCCTCACCTCAGGCCTCTATTCTTCGTAAACCAGAGTTTCAGAGCTAATAAACACAAATGAGAAAATTATCGTCCAAAGGATCCCATGTCGGAGGAGTTGGTTGGTGCATATATCAACGACTGGATTTTGGCCTTAACTAAGACTAGCCGAGCGAGTTGATGTTCCGGGTCCGTTGATGTTTCCACAAGCTGTCACCCGTGAAAAATTTTTGCTGTAGCAAACATAACATATTATTATGTTTGCAATATGTAAATTATTTAGAAGTAGCAAGTGTTGAGATTTATGGAATGAAGCCAATCTCATTTGAAAAGCTATCCCAATTTGACATTAATCAACCAACAACTCCCCCTACCCCGAAGGGGGGGGAAAAAAAATAAAAGAGTACAAAAGAGCAAGTCAGAGAAAATGAAAGTGTACTCGAGTAGTGATCCATTCTTCTCAAGCTTGAGATTAGTAGTGGGAGAAAATCTGATTCATCAAGGTGTGATTTTGCGCTTGTGATCGGGTTGGGTACGAGCAGCATAAAAAGTGAACTGAATATCGAAACGTTAGCCTAGGAATTAATTTTTTTGGAAAAAGCACCAACTCAATCAGGAAAATGGCTTGCCGGAAAAGAGAGATGTGAAAAGTGTTTAGATCGTGGTTTTTCCCCGTTCAAATAAACCATCAAGGCAGTTAGTTGCCTCGCGTTTCCCTTTGCCTCTAGAAGTAAATTCATTCATATTGACCTTCCACTCTCATTGAAAACAAATGGTTTCTTCGGCTTAGGATGTCACAACCCACAGTGGAGGTAGGAGGAAGGATGAATTTAATGGTACAGAAGAAGAAGTTCTGGATTTAGATCTCCCACTTATATTTCAAAAAAAAAAAAAAAAACCTCGCACATGTCAATCCCTTTGGTGACTTGAGGAGTTAATATGTTACTTGCGGTTTGCCAGTTTTCACATAAAACGGGACGCTTAAGCACTGACACAAAAGGGCAACAGTTATTTGGCGTTAGGAGTTTCTTTCTGCGTGTGCGAGAGAGAGAGAGAGAGAGAGAGAGAGAGATGATCTTCGGGTGGAGAAAAGCAATGAATAGTCAAACCTACTCCAGCGTAATGAAGCCACACTGTTGATATCATTAAAAAAGATGCGGATTCTGGGTAAACATCGTTGGTCTTAGTTTTAGCTGCACAACTCCGGAGATTAAGAGTAAGTTTCAAGTAACAAGATGAATCTCAATCAATATAATAAAAATTCAAAAACACAATAACAAGTCCTCATAATGGATCAGAGAGCTGAATCGACTTATCAGAAACAGTACATTCATAAAATGGCATGCAAATAACAATCACAATAATCGGCATAAACACAAAAAAAGGATGTCGGGGCGGACTATCAAGACTAAAATTTAATTAGCAGGCTGCTCACTAGTCACAGCTTCAGTCTCTTCAGCAGATGTGGGAGCAGAGCCATTAGCAACTGGTTCTTTTTCTTTAGTGGGGGCGGCAGCTGCCTCACCGACTGCAGACCCCTTGGCATTAGCTTCAGCGTCTTTTCCAGTCTTGGCCTTTGCATCTTTCCCATCCTTTGCATCCTTCCCAGCTTTATCATCCTTGGAAGGAGCAGGCGGAGGCGGCATCATGTGAGGCGGGGGATTGTGCTTGAGCTTCACTAATATTTGGCGCATCCTTGTAAGATCGGTGGGTTTGCCAGGTTTGGGTCCTTGGATGACGGTGATTGATGGCTTCTTTTCTTGTTCCTTCTTCCCTCTCCTTTTCTCAATATTCGGGACCTCATGCGGAATCAATTCTCCTATGGCTTTCCAATAGTGCTTATCAACCTCCTTGTGAAATTTCTCTTGACCTGCCAAGTACAACTGCCCCAAACAAAGATGGATTCGCCAGTTTGACCAAATTAAACTCTCAGGAAGTCATCTTTTAAAATCATATATATACTATGTAAATCTGAATTTTTTTTGTACGGATGCATCTCAGCCCATAAAATTTTTTATATGAACTGATTTTGTCTGTTACGCAATCCTATCAGTTGAAATAACAGTAAAGCACCTTTGAGTCACAAGGAAGTTCAACGATTCTTTTGAATTTTTTGACTAAGAATCAGTAATCAGCCAAAGAAATGGGACAAAAACTGCACACGAGCAGCAAGGATAATAATATCAGCTTTATTAGAAAATAAGAGCTTTTTCTCATGTAAGGTGCTTTCCTTCTAATGACAATTGTTTAATAAAAAAGGACCACTATCAATAACTCTGTCTAGCTCCAACTGGATGCAACAATTCTCACTCAGCTTATAAGAAGCTCTAGCAGCAGCCTGACATTTAGCAATTGCAACCTCCCAGTTTGGAAATATACTAGTGAAATGAGACAAACAACTAAAAGCATGTATAATCTTGTCTCATACATTTTACAAAAAATTAAGATTTTTTTTGCCTTTCATTATCGTACAGGACTAACATGCAATTTGCCCATAACAATACACGACCCCAGGTTAATGCAGAATTAACAAAAACTCAAATCTGGGTTATAAAGCTAAAACCAAATAAAGCTTTACCTTCTCTTTCTCTCTGTTGTTGTTCTTGTTGGTCTCAATATTAACCTTTCTTTTCTCATAAAAAGCCTGCTTGTACTCTTCACCTTCTAGAATAATTTGGTTCCTTATCTCCTTTTCCCTCTTCTCCTTCTCCTCAAGTCGAATAGCATTCAACCTATATATCAGAAAGAACATAGTTGATCAGTCCAACAGATCTGATTGACAGTTCAATAAATTTTCTAACAAACCATTCATGCTAATTTTGGAAGAGAGAAGGAAGTGCTTAATATGATTCAAGACCAGTTTTCTTGAAGAAAAAAGGGGAGACGTAGAGAGGGAGGGGAATTCCGTCCCTAATATTCTTGACAGTTTAGTAGAATTGTTTCAAAACACCACAACTGTTCACACACTGCTTATTCGTTCAGCTCAAGTATGCTTGACGGGAACTGGAACTCATTTGTTTAATTTGATGGCTGAGCTTCAACATCAAATAACATTCATAGGCTTGACAGAGGCTACGCTCGCTTTAGGCTCAGCAACAAATTAAATATTAGATACTTTTACTTTTTCAGGAATAGCAATAGAGATTCATTACATTATATCTTCTTAAATTGCTCTTTATGTCCAGCAGATTATAAGGTTCATGATATTTGCATTACATGGTTTCTTGTATAAAAGCTCAAGCTCAAAAATCAAGTTCAAGCTTTCCACATTAGTCAAACATCAAATTTCCTAAATGAGCAGAGCTCGAGGGCAACTATCAGTCAAGATCTGTCAAAAGTTGACTTGAGAAATTTCGCAACTAGGTTCTTTCTTAAAAGGGAAAAGATAACCTATAAGAAGGCTTCATTCGAGATTTTTTAGAATCCAACAGTCAAAGCATATTCTGGTCAACTCAAGGATCACGCTCTGAGTTCAAATTCTAGCCTCCTTGATGTGTCTAAAATTTAAGATACATAACCTATAAACTTAATGCAAATTATAAGAGCTTATTCTTGAATTTGAGGAAGGGGGGGGGGGGAGGCAATAATGGCATGCAATCAACAAGCATGATTGTACATGAACCCTTCTTAAGATTTTTTATGATTTATTGATCCAATTCTACCATCTCAACCACACAATGTTATTAGATACATAACAGTGTAGCCAAATTGTTATGTCAAGGATCTCGATCTGTAGGTACTTAATTAAATCATCTGAAACCAATAGAAAGTAAATTAATTCTTGATTCACTTGAACAAGAACCAAAATATACCAACGAAACCAAAAAAAAAATTTCCCCCCTTTTAATTTGAATTGCAACAAGCTCTTCCATGTCAAATCATGCAGCAAGGCTCGTAGTCCCTAAAATTCCACAAGGGTGCCTGAAAAGTGGATGTGTGGTTTCCTAAACTTGTACATCTAACAAACTCGCTCACCAGAGATTCAATTCCTCAAAGCTCAAATCAAATAAACTACCCCCTCCCTCCCTCCCAAAAAAAAAAAAAAAAACCACCCAAAAAAAGGACAAACAAAAAGCGGCAAACACTCACATTTTATCATGATCACAAACTACCATGCAAATTCTACTACCAATCAGTTATGAGCAACTAGTTCAAATTGTCATAATCTAAACCAAAGATCTGAACTTGGGCTCCAGATCAGTAACACTAAAAATAGTAAAAGACCAAAATAACAAAGATCTATAACAGCAATAAATATTTCACTAACAGAAATGCATAATATTATCTCAAGAAAGGAAAAGCTTTGTCAAAAACGAACAAAAACAAAAATCTGACCTCCGCCACTCCCGGAGAGCAAAGCCTTCTTCTTGCATTTCAGTAGGCGGTGGCAGCACAGGTCCATCGGATCTAAAAATCCCCTCCGTATCCTCCCCGAGATCATAAGGCCTCCCATTTCCATTCGGAATTGGAGCCCCCGGCCCCTCAAACGGTGCAGCTTCCTGATCCGCCTCGAATCCGAAGGGATCCGAACTGTTGACAGAGTGGGAGACGTGTTCCACCGTCACTTCCTCTTCTTCGTATCCAGCTGGAAATCCTCCCCCGCCGCCGCTTTGGTACGGCGGAGTATCGGCGGAGGAAAACGCCGTGTAAGAGTCGTACCCACCGTAACCTCCGTCTTCGAACTGACGTGTCGTCGCCTGATCCTCACCGTCAATGCTAAATGTATCAAAAGAAGCCATCTTCTTCTTCTGCTTACTGCTTTGTTTCTGTTCCTATATCTCTCTCTGGAAATTTCTGTGTTATGGGGACACACACCTATTTGTATGTGTGTCTTATTAATTGGTATAAGAGGAGTTTATATAGTGGATTCTTTTTTTCAATTTAATACTGTGATTATATACTATTGTTAATGTGATTTAGTGATTGCTGCTTTAAAAAGAAGCATTGAGATTGATGGATGTGTGAGGGGTCTCTCTCTGTCAACCTCCTCCCACTTGAGAATATTATTTTCATTATTATTACTTTTAAAATAATTTTTATAGTGGTAGTATTTACGGTATGTATTTTTGTTTCTGACATTCAAAGATTTTAGAGTTTATTTCTCTCTATTTTTTTTTCTTGGTAGAGTAATTGGGATTCTTTTTGTCTTGATAAATTTCGATGCAAATTGTTTTCTTGCTTTTTTTTTTCGATTTCAAAAGATAAAGACTTATTAAATCTAGTGTTTCATATAAGAATGGATTCCTCGTGATTCAAAATTCGAAAATATGTGCAACACGTTCACAAAACATTTAAGAATAAAAAGGGTTTAACAAGATTGGGATTTGGAAGTAGAATGTTATTTTGTTTGTACACAAAAATAAATGATTTTTCTTTAAGATAGTTATAGTGGGATTTGAGTCTTATTGAAGATTTTGGTTTTAAAATGTTGTTTTGTTTCTTAGTGATGATTTTAAGTGGTTGATAATGAAGTCGGTTTTTAGTTCATTAAGTTCAGTTAAACGATAGTAACACAGAGATTACTACAGAGATTTGTAAGGAATGAAATAGAACGAAACTTCTGTTTCATTTTATTTGGGAGTGGAACAGAAGATCTATTAAAGGAGACAAATCTAGGAAACGTTGCCTGGTGTTTCCTAAATGGTTGGGATAAGATTTTGTCTATATTATGAGGTCCGAATTTAATGTTGAGAGAATTTTGCGTCCTTGTCGTCCTAATTTGTCAAGATATTTGACAGTTGCCCCTATTTACATGGTTTTATGTTAAAAGTTGCCTAGAGAATATTTGACAGAATATCAGCCTACTATTCATATGTTCATATACTCATGTTTAGCGAAATATCACAGATACAAAGTTTAGAGAAATAGACCTTCATTTTTCCTTTTTTTTTTGTTTTCAATTATATACTCAGAATGAGATACAAAAAACTACTTCACACAATAATTGTAAACTTCCGTCCCACATCGTTAGGATGTGGGTTCTTTAACCTGGACTTAAGGTCCACAGGTTTACCTTCCAGTTACCAATTGGCTGGATAGGTAAGCTTTGTGGGTCCCCCTTAGGTTACCTCTTAGGTCCTCTTAACTTTAATCCCCAGTCATATTTAATTAGTTGGGTGTGTGTCTTATATCGTTTTATTCGATAAAAAAAAAAAAAACACAATAATTGTAAACTAAACTACCATAAACAATCCAAAGCTTAAGCTAAATGAGTACGATTAAGTGCAAGAATTGACATGCGTCCTTCCTGCGCGATGATTCTCAAATAAGTTCTTATATAAACATGTTTTGAGAAATTTTTGTTTTGCGAGCCTCTGAATGATTTTTGCGCAAACAGCTATATGTTTTCTGCTTTTTGCTCGACCAAAAAACACGCGAGTCCATTAAAATGTTTTGATATTGTTGAAATTATAGGAGTAGTATTCTCTCAAATTTCATTTATCCATCATGCGAGCTTTCATTTACCTCCAATTTCTTTTGTTTTTTCGTTCTTTTCATAGTTTTTGTGGTCTACACATTTGCTGAGCTTCAACAGTTATCCCTCTTTCCCATTGTTGTCAATACCCTTGGATGATAGCAGTAATTTAACTAATTAAACATGAAACACAATGACGAAAAAGCCAATTTATCATTGGGCTGGGGTGGATTGGCCAAGTGAAATGGAATGTATCATCCAGATCAGTGACCCTGCACAACATCAACATCAACAAGAAAGAGCTCCTAAAACTGAACAAAACTTTCACTTTCATCTTTCATCCAGAAAGTGAAATAGGAGCCAGACCATTGAACCAATGTACTGTTAGCATTCAGTGAATCCTCTCCAAAATCCACGTTCTACACCCGATGAAAGCGTTCCATATTCCCGGTATAATTATACAACCACCTCGAACACAAATTCGAGGGACACAGCTCTACCACATTCATGGCTCATGGCTGCATTCAATGTCAGAAAAGAAGATATACACAGTGCCCGTCTCGTTTTGCTTCCCAATTGGCTTGTGAGGGCCTTTTGCACCCTCGCGCAACAAACTCCTACGGTAGTAGTCCACGAACGTCCTGCAACATGTACAATTTTGAACGGCAGCAATATGGCAAAGCATTTCCCTTGTCTTCAAAAACTTGCAACTATATCAGCAGCAGCCTGTAAAACTGATCTAAAACAGTTGGTTGGAACATGACCTAATCATTGCTCCCAAATTCTCTGGTGTCACCGCATAAGCTACAAGTCTCTCTGCAGATGCTATACTGCCAAGGTGCAATTAGGACATGAAGAATTACGGTACGGGAGAAGCATTCTTTGGATATCTTGCAGAAGATGGCATCCGCTGCAGAACCCTGGAAAACTCCGGTTTCAATCTTTTGCTTGACATCCCCTGCCATGGTCTGATGAAAAAGCAGTTAGTAAACATAAAGCAAGTGGAAGTAGCCTAGGAAAGCTGAGAAAACACCTGCAGCAGCATCATAAACAAGCATGTAATTATGCTATCAAGGTTGTTGACAGTTTCGTAGAATTCACCTACCTAAAGCACGCGAAATAGTCCACTTTATTGACAAGAAAACAAGACAATCTAATGTAACAACAATGTGATGGCAAAACAACTCACCTGGGAGAGCCCTGACGCTTGTGACCATATGAACCAAGCATTGATTTCAAGGTTCCAAGGGCCTTTTCAGCAGCCTAGACAAGAAAACTGAGTTCAACATTTCATGCAGAATGAGTATAAACTTCCGACATTTCAGCCGGGCACAAAGGTTCCACTTAGAATGTTTCAGGAGGAGAAGAAATTTAGAAACAAAACTACATGGTACCTGTGATTTTGCTTCATCCCAGTTTATCCCAATTCCCTTTCCTAACACCTGTCCATCTATTTCAACCTAGAGCATGATCAACAGCACAGATTAAACAAAGTAAACAGGGATAAGAGAAAAGATTATCTCAATCCTATAGGTGCATCAGCATGTCCAAGCAATTAAATCCAGACAAAAGGAAGACATTTCGAACACACCGGTGGAGCAAAAGTAGTTAGATATGTACATCCAGTGCAAAGAAGAACATAATATCTGCTTAAGACCTCAAATATGTATTTAGGATCACGAAAAAGTCCCAACAACCAACGAGCATAAATCTAGAGGTATCTCATAAGCTTTGCAATGTAGATGAAAGACCCTACACATGTGAAGTTACCAATCATTTGTAAGCATCCTTTTTTTGACATATTCGTCCTGTATAAACATAAAGCTAAATGCTTTCGTTTTGCACAAGAAGAATTAGAAAAACAGGGAAGCAGCTTCATGTAAGAAAATGACACAAAAACCAGCTACTAATTGAGAGGAAAACATTCACCTGTGCATACACTTCATTCTTTTGGCCAGGATTAGCTGAAAGCTGAGGCTGAGTTTGGAAAGCTAAGCCAAGGCCCTCCATTGAACACTTAAGAATTAAAGAGAAATCATAAGTATACAAGTGGAAGAATAATCCCAGAAAAGGAATCACAACAGCTCCTAGAATCTTACCAGCTCTTTAAGGGCAGCAATTGGACCCACAGGTCTCTTGGACGCCTCCAATCTCGAATCCAGCACCCTAGGAGGCATGGATGCAGTAGAAAATGACCCGGGCTCCTCCTTAGGCAATTGTTGATACCCCCAAGAACTAAAATCGTTGGCAAAACCATTGTTGGATGTATTTGGGAATCTACGCCATTCCCCAGGAACAGAGCTGGAATCAGGTTTGAGAGATGATATATACTTATCTGCAAAGGAGTCTCTACCAGTCAAACCACTCAGCAAGTAACAACAGGAACTTTAAGAAGGTGAAGTTATATCAAAGGTTCCCTTCCATCCCAGGCAAAACATACCAGAATTAATTGAGGTTTTCCCAGGGAAGCAAACAAAACTAGCAAAATAGACATCATCAAGACAAAGAGCCAGCCATAAATCACTTAAACATCAATAAGACAAAGCCAGCCATCAATGTAGCTGGTATGTACAAGCATACGCTGAAATATCCATGAATCAACATGCTCATTCTTTTTTGTATCTCTCTTCATTTTCCTTAAAATTAGTTCACCAATCTCAAAAAAGACTAAAAGAATAACTAAAAGTGTGCTTTTTCACAAACAAACTTGAGGCAAGAAGCAACATTTTTCAGGAATCAGTGTCTCAGAAATATACAAAATGCCAGCTATTAAACGTTCCAACTCAAAAACTAGAAATGAATGGAGTGCTAGCTTCTTGCATATGGTGGCTTACAAAGATTAAAATAGTACATTAAGAAAAAGAAATAGAAAAGTAAAAGTTTAAAGGAATAAACTCTTTCAAAGGAAATGCATTGTAATCCCATAGTATCAATTAACTATATGTAAAAGCTACCACAAGCTAAACCTCAATGAAAACAGGGAAAAACTTATTAAAGCAGCCTCAAATGTTGAACTAATCACAATGAATCCATAGCTGAATATCAAACTTGTCCCTTTGAAGAAAAAGAAGTTTTGAACTTATTTGTCAGAAAACCAGGAAAAACGAAAGGTCAAACTCCACAGTTCCTACTCTAAGAAGCGAGCTAAGAGTTCAACACATGGAAGCCACAGAACTGCATATGCCATTTCGTGTCTTGATGTATCACAAAATAATTCTAGAACATTCTATACCTGCCTTGCTTTACTTGCACGAGAATTAACACAAGATTTTCCAGTCTGTATTCAAATAAAAGATACATATATCTTCAGAAGATAGAACCCAAACAAAAGTATATCGAAATATACGAATTACACTTTCTCCTCTCTCTCTCTCTCTCTCTCTCTCTCTCTCCCTCTCCCTCTCCCTCTCCCTCTCCCTCTTCCCCCCCCCCCAACTCTTCCCATCCTTGGGCTAGTGGAATCATCACATCACAAGTCAATTATATTTGGATCTAAAGGTAAACTGCATACAAAACCTGAAAGCATTTTAAACCTCAATGTAAACAACAACAAACATACCAGCCAAATTCATAAGTGAACCGTCAGCAGCTTGACGCTGTGCTTCCCTTCTGGTCCTACCTATCCCTTCACCAATTTTCTCTCCCGCAAACCAGACCTAAAGGGAATAAGAAACATGATAATCAAGGTCCAGCATGCACGTAGTAATCAAGATAACTTTGTAAACCAAATGTACAGCTTATTACAAAAACGTTGAGGCATTGTGAAAAAATGCATGCTTTTATGGCAAATCTGTCAAAAGGGTTTTATATTTCTTCATTTTTTGGAAGGAATGGTGGACTTTTTCAGATATATATTGATTACTCAAATACTATTTATTGAAACTAAGTCTTCATTCCCATGTTTGTTTTTGTATTAAATTTTGAGTGACTAATATTTTATCTGTTTGCTTTGCGGAAATGTGACATGAAAGAAAGAGACAAGGACACACAAACACACACACACACACACACACACAGAGAATAACATAAATCAAAATATGTATATCAATCATTATATTTTCTCCTAATTAACAAGGTTAATGGTCAAAACTGATGTAATTGTTCAATCCATGAAGAATTTAAACAACCTCTGCACAGAATTGCAACTCCGAGCTTGAAACCAATGCTTGCTTGAACTCCACCTGTGAGCAAACAAGCCAGGCATCATGAGAATTCCAGACGAAAGCAAAGCTAAAAAGCCTGGGACTGTCAAGAGGTGTCTAATTGTCTCATACCTTTGTTCCGCATTTGAATGCAATATCATGCAAAGCTCCAATAGGTGTTTCAGCCTGTGGATCAATTTGTCCAGATTCAAGGTCAAGATCTCTATTCGCTGAAGATGATCGAACCATGGAAGCTTCTTCACCTGAAAAAATGCAACTCCCAAAAAACAAATAAGAATAAAAAGGTAACCACAAGGATGTTTCATTACATACATCTGATTATGAAATTACCCATAAAAGAATATAACAGCATATGATGGGTTTTTGCCAAAATGTCAACAAAATGCATCAAAATCTTCCATACCACTCCACAAGAGCCTTACATAAGATTTATGGAAAAGACCAAGGCCAAGTTAGCACCAATTTCAATAACCTTATGCTACACTGAATTTTAAGTCCGAGTTCAATCCCCTATACCCTTTTTCCCAACAGGAAGAACCAATCCTGTTCATTTTCACATTTAGGACTTAAATACATCACAAGCATGTCCCAACATAAGCAGAGAAAAGTACACACACTTCATTGTTATTTATTTTTTAATTGCATGTACATCTGGGCACATCAGACATCCAAACGAATTATCCTTTATAGTAAACCTATCCTGTTTAAATAACAATGAACTGGATGCTATAAACTATTAAAAGGTACAAGACCCTTCATATGATACAAATTCATAGAGGAAGAGCACAAGAGAGAGATCACAAATCCATTACTGCTGGTGGATCCAGATGGTTCGGCAACAGATGACCAAATATAAAATGAGAAATTAAAACTAGATGAAATCTTTTTTATTTGACAATCAAATTACCCTCATCCAAAATGTCCTTATATTAATTCCTTTTCCTTTCTCATTTTCCCCCCAGAGAGAGAGACAAAGAATAAATCCGAAAATACAAACAGGCAATGCACAGATATCATGTCTTTGCCAGCAAAGTTCATAACTGGCCTATTAATAGCCCAGAATCAAATAATTACAAAAGCTGCCATAGATAGGTTTCTAGTAAAAAATACATTAAAAAAAAAAAGAATCAGTAACAAACCATCATGCAGGCAAAAGCAAATTAAGTACACAACAAAACCTGTGCACTTATCTGAACCACAATAACAGTCTGTTTCCTTACATAGGCAACGATTGATCAACAAATATTTCTGCCATTTAATGTGTGGATAGGCGGTTCACTCCTCCATAACTACTAGTAACAAATATCAAACTCTATGTATTCAAGAACCATTCAATTGCAAAATTTAATCAAAGCTTTGCCCACTCAATGAATCTGTTACTGAAGAGTCATAGTACAGGGATAAAAAATTATACATCCCTTTCAAGTGCAACTTCAATATTTATGACCGGGTAGGACAGTATTAGCCAAATTAAAAAATTCAACCACCATATAACACAATTTTGCTCACTAAAAATATCTATGTTGCACCCCCAAGTCTCAATCCAAGACATATGAAACTTCATAACTCGTGCAATTTAGAGCCTTCTTCTCCAATGATCAATGCTAGTGAAAGGACACATCATATGTATGTGCTATCTAAAACAGAATGGAATAATATGTATCAAGTATCGGGTAACAGAATTAGGAATTTTACAACGCAGAATGAAGTTAGTTGTTCAAAACTTCATCAATTACTAAAAGTTGCTAACTTCTACTGACATTATCCATACTTTTGCAGACATAAGATGCATTTGCAAAATTCCATCTTTATTAATTATAAGAGCTTAACTTTTATGCTAAGTGGGATATTTTATAGAAAAAAAAATTATGAATAAGCCTCTAAGAGGATCTATTTCTAAAAATGTTAAGCATGTAAACAACATACTCATCCAATCAAAGTCTGCAATTCAGTCTGCAAAATTACTTTGAGATGTCCCACATAATTGTGATTACAATACACAAGCACAGAAAATTCAAGGCTTACCAGAAAATGATGGGAAACTGGCAACTGGCTGGTTTAATCTCAAATGATCCTCTCTAGGAAGTGTCTGCACAAAGAAACTCCCACAACATCAGCACCATTCACATGACAGCTCAAACCCATGAATCATATTAAAAGAAGTATGAATTACCTCCTTCAGCATCCTCTGGTTTTCAAGAAAAGCTCTATCAGGCGGGACAGCACTCTCTGCTTTTTGGAGAAAAGGAGAGTGACTCGAACGGTGCTTTTCAATTTCCATAGGTTCTGAGCGCAGAGGGAAATCCTTTGGTGGTACAACTCTGTTAAGTTGTCTTGGACTCATCTCTTCATCAATTGGAAACCAACCACGTCCCTGAGCCCTCGGTGCAGAGACTTGTAATGGTGTGCGTACAGGAAACTGAGGTTCACTTGATGTGCGCTCCCTTGAGTCTTGACCATGCTGCAAAATGAGTAGTCTCCTCCTTGTATCAGGATCTAACTCTGATTCTGGGACTTCACCCTCTTCCCTAGCAGGAGAACTTTGCAAGCTTGCTTCTGGAGGAAGAATAGTTTGATTAATAGGATTTTTAAGGACAGAAGTCACTTGAGACAACTGCTGAGATGGAAAGGGAACCACTGGCCCTGACATCGTTGGTTGCAGCACAGAAATAGAAGAAGGTACAGCATATTGGACTGTGGCAACAATTTTTGGATCCAAATTTGGAATTGCCAAAGGAGCAGTGGAGGAAGCCGAAATTGCCTCCTAAATCATAAAATAATTAGTAGATCAATCACTAGCCTAACATAGATGGGGAACAGGTTCAAGTGCATAAAAGTAGATATCATATACTCGGTAAAACCAAAAAATAACAGAGGAAACTCAACCAAACAATAAGCACTAGTAAAGAAACCAAATTTTGAGAAAAGCTCTCACCTTTAATCTTCTTTCCACCTCAACATCTGCCATGCCATCAAAACCAAGTGAATCCTTGTTTCCATTTGAAGCGGAAGGATCATCCTGAACAGCTAATGTTTGAGAAACACATCCAAAGTAATTTACTGCAAAATGACTGTTTAAAAAAGCAAGCAAGCGCATACTCTGATTGCACAAGTGTTTCAAGAGCATGGCCATCACTAACCTCTGAGATTAAATAGTTGCTCACATCAGGAGGAGAAGGAATTTCTTTAATATCATCTTCATATGCAACTTCAGAAATTCGTTGCAAGAGACCCTCATCAAATTCTCTGCAACAATTAATCTCAGGTTAAAAAGCTTATGCAGACTGATAAATTAAAATCTGACTATGCTAAGAGTGGCCATTAATATGGTGCTTGTACTTCTCAACTCTAACGAAGTTGTAAAACCTTACTTGAAGAAACCACCTCTGACATTGCACGCTACATTCCTTGCAACACAGAGAACTGGAATTGCATTGTTGGCCTACAGCACAAATTATTTAATCTTGGCATCATGATATCATTAGTTAACTTTAAACAAATAACAATAAGAAGCATAGAGGAGGGTGACATAAAGAATACAGTAGTTTCCAGTACATACTTCAGCTTGAGGAGCATAATAAGGAGCAAAGGCAGGAACCACATGCACTCGAGGTTGATCCTTTTCATCCCACACTTTTAACCGGTCATCAATCACCAATGCCATCTTAGGATGACAGTTTCCATGTTGGAAAACATTGAACAACGACTTCCTCAAGCCTAAACAGAAATGCTTATATACAATTAATCCACCAAAAATATCGCAATCGAATGTGACCAAGAAAAACCTCATGGCAAGCTAAATAAAAGTGACATCTCTATGAAACTCACCAGACTTGACACAGACAATACGATCCAATAGCTCTTTCGGGTCAATCAAGTTTGAATCAGGATCAAGGAGCCGCCACATTTCTAAAGCATAGTCCCTTTCAGCCATTGTGCAAACATACACTTCAAAACGCTTTCGACCTCTTGCGGTTAAGTAGTTTCTGAGATCTTCCCATGCAGGCCTCAATCTTACAAGTACACTTGTATCACGGATCTGAGGTAATAGAAACATGAATATGAGCCCAAGTAAGAGAGTCCAACAAGCTAATTAAGTTGACCAGCAAAAGTCACAAGCCTCTAAGGTCTATGAACACTTCACCACACTCTTCTCCAACTCCCTCACCCAGCTAGGATACTATCCTATGCTCAGCAAAAACAACTACAGCAAAACTACAAACTATGGATGGGCGGTAATTTGGCATAATGCTTAACCAAACAGCTACTTCATGATCAAAGTCAATATCTAATAAAGTTCAAATTATACAATAGAAATATTAAGACGCCACATGACATACTTGAGGATTAATGCGAGTAAGGATAATGTTCTTCTCCTGAAGCCTTAAAAGTGGGCGAACAATGGTCTGGTGATTGTCTGACAAAGCAAGAACAACCTCGGGCTGAGACTTGACAACCTTCCCGTTATCAACAACCTGGTCATTTTCTGCATATTGCTTCAGTATATTTTTGTCATCCTGATAACGCTTTATTTCTGCCAGCATAGCAGAAACACGTTGTTGATCAACCTCGGAGTTTATCTTCCGCTGTAAGGCTTCAATCCTATCCTCAAAAGAGCGCATTGTGTTGGCCACGATGAGTGTTTCATCAAGATCAAACACAATACCAAGACATCTAAGGTTCAGCATGACAAGGCAAGAATTGTAAAGTCGAGATGCAACAATGAATCCCCAAAAGCAAGGGAACTGTCCTTCATGCTGTCTAGAATGCATGGCAACCAAATGAAGTTCATCTTCCTCGTCAAGTGGCATTATTGCAGTCTACAGAGACATATCAGAATTAACAGTGAGTGTAGGAAAGATCACAATAATTTGCCTTTCACAGACAATGAAACAACAAAACCAAGCTATACAATGCAAATTGTGCTCAAGACAAAATAATGCTAAAGGAATAGAAGAAAAGCATTTAATTACAGTTAAATGCAAGGAGAAAAAGTCGCATGAGGATATTCACTCATTTATTATTTCTAACGTACAGAAACTTCAGATACAAAGAATTAGAGCCATATGACATAAAACCCCATGTGCCCTTTCGGTGATAAGACTTCTGTGACAAAATCAGTTAAGTACAGATTAATGGCTTTGAAGTATTAATGATCAAAGTGTTGTTACATAATATAAGTCCAGAAACACATATGCAATCTAACAGCCTCAGGAGGGAAAAGAACAACCCTGTTTAATAATATCTTTTATTCCCACTTTCAAACTTTATTATGGTTTCCCCAATCTATACAATCTGCAGCTTCCACAAAAGGAATATGCTTGGGGCCATACGCAGTAGCACATTCTAACAAAATAACTTTGTCACAAGATCAAGGTTGAAAACTCTCCAAGAATCATTTTTGTTCCAATTTATTTCTAAGGAAAAAGAAATTGTTCATGCAGAATTTTCCGAGCACATGTATTTCAGTCGATCCATCCAATCATGTCTGCAGAAGTACAACAAAAGAGATCAGTTCAGGGTACACTCCAATTCATGTAAAATGGAAAGCCAGTTCTGGGTTCATTCAGTCCTATTCAACAAAACCACTGATAGAAATTTGAGGGTCCAGGTCCAATCCTGTCCAAAGTCCAGGTTCAAATCCAAAATTAGGGTTTCCACATTTTTTACTCCGAAAATTAGGGTTTCCATTTCTCAACTTCAGGGAACATCGTTAACCCTTCAAATTAAGATTCACTCCTCTTTACCAACAACTTAAAGCAAGTCAGATTCTTCTTCTTTTTTTCTTTTCATTTAGTCTTCTAAAAAAATGTTAAAATTTTTATGGTTCCTTTAGTCCTCAGTGTACTAAAGAGAGAGACAGAGGTGAGAGCAGAGAGCAGAAAGCTGAGCTGAGTATTGAGTAATTATTGCCAGCTTCTGGCAGGTGGCAGGTTCTTTGTTCAATACCTTATTTTCCCTGAGACAAGTGGCGTGCAAAATGGAAAGCGGCGAATTCTGTTGAGACTTGTCTTTCAACTCCAGTTTGAAGCAAAGCCCGCCTGAGTCTGACGAAGAAGAAGTAACAGTATGCAGCACCGCCAGTGGCGGACACCTTTCACTTGACTGAGAATACTCAGAGATCCGAATTTCGTCCCTGTCCCACACGACACCGTTCTGATCATCAATACTATACACTTCCACTTCCCCCAGTACTCTTTCCCCTTCTATCAAATTCACCACCACCGCCGCCGCCATTATTTAAAAATAGAACCCCACAAAATGAACAAATTATTCAAAGTATCAATTTGATGCCGATTTATCCGGATTCATCCAATGAGGTAGGGATTTGGCTTTCCTTCGCTTTGATTTTGTGGAAAAATCAAAAATCAAGTAAATCGGTCCCATTTTTTCATCTCAGTAGTGGTAATTCCTCTTGGAAGTTCAACGGTCCGATTTTTCCAGGTTTTTCAATCCAGAAAAGACAAAAAAAAAATCCCAAGAAAGTATATATAATAATCAAACTGGTAAAATTAGGGTTTCTTAGATCTGGTCGAACAAAAAAGGAGCTTGCTTTTGCTATGCTTTGCTTTTCTTCTGATTCTTGTTGGTGACGATGATGACGAAATTGTACTCGTTGATGACGTGTTCTCGTCCGACCGACGATGAAGTGAATTTTCGAAGAAATTTATGCATATGTAAATTTTGTGAATATTGATGATGACGATGATGACTTTCGCTTTTCGTACGACTTTTGCAAGTGTATATATATATTTTACGAGGAAGAAAAGAAGAAACCCTAGATCCACACCAAGAATAATACTACTACTACTAATGCCTGATGATGGGAAGAACAACTCAAAAGTCTGCAGGACAGGAGAGGAGATGCGACCCTGCAGAGGTGAGGAGAGAAGCTGATAATAAAAGGGATCTTTGGGGTCAAAATTGTACTTTTGTCTCTGCCTCTCTATCTCTGCTTTTCTTGGTCTGGTGCACGCATCTTTGGTGTGGTGACGTCCCAAGGTGATAATAATAACAGTACAACTTCAAATTTTCGTAGATTCTGGATTTTACCAATGTTTTTAAACTCGGACCGGTCAGTGAACCGGAGAGGTGGCCGGTTCGCGGTTCGACCGGTCCAACCGGCCGGTTCAAAGGTTCACTGTTTTTTTTTTTTTTTTTTAGTGTTAAGTACTAAATAGGTTTCATTCTACACTTGAACTTTACCAACATAACTTAATTTAAGTTATGATAATAATAAATTTTCTAAAAGTTATACACAAAACATGGAATGATAAATATAATTAAAATATCATAATTCACCACAAGTTTTCATAAATTCATTATAAACATAAATAGATACAATCCAAATGTGCACCAATTATCACAAATAAAAACACAAAAAATAAATAAATTAAATATTGAAATTCTTTTACAACCCTTAAAAAAATCCATAAAAGAGTTCAAGTTAAGACAAACTATTTGAATAGCAAACTTTTATCAGTGGCATGATAAGCAACCACACCACCTTCACAATTTCATCAACTTAAGCTGAAAAAGTTAAAATTTTATTATAAAAATATAAATCTAATTGCTCAAACTAAAAAAAACTAAAAATTTTTGAAAAACAAATATACAGTTAAACACATAAAAAATTAATTGCTACTAAACATTACTAATTAACATGTTATATTAAATTCAATGATCCTATACCATTAATTATTTTAAATTCAATTATCAATAGCTTCGATTATGTGCCAACTACCATATTTTTGACCAACCCAATGTTATTATTTGTAATTCCTATCCAATTCCTACACGGATGTGCACTACTTTTGCAAAAATTTCATCCTTAATTAATCGAATAAAAATAAAACAAAAATGAGGGAAACATATGAAAATTGAGGGGAAAAAGAAGAAAATGCAAAAAATCAACTAAAGATAATAATATAGAAAAAAACCTTGAAAAGAAAAAAATTAAACTTACTAAAATGTTGGAAAACAAGAAAAGTTGAAATTTTCAACTTGTTTACAATCTGCTAAAGATAATAACTTGATAATAATGGTGAAGACTTGAGAAAATCTTGTTGTGGATATTTGGGTTAAAAATGGTTAAGAAGAAAAAATTGAAAAAAAAAATAAGAGAAGAACTTGATGTTTTAATATATTTTTTAGTCAAGTAGAATTCTCAACAAACTTAAGTACAGTCTAATGGTAAGATTGTCATATTTAAACTTGGAGACCCAGGTTCGAATCTTAGCTACACCATTCTTGATATTTTGTTGAAGAATTTAAAAAACCGCCGGTTCACGGTTCGCACGGTTCGTCCGGGTTTCAACGGTTCTCCATGAACTTCCGGCTTTAACATTAGACCGGACCGGTGACATGGCCGGTTCGCGGTCCAACCGGTCGAACCGGCCGGTCCGGTCCGGTTCTGAAAACATTGGATTTTACACGTAGTACTGTTTATTTTTTGATGCTTTTCTTACGCCACAAATGAAAAGTTCGGTTAATTCTTCAACGACCTATGCTACGCATGACTTTTTGTTTACATCATTAATTGTCTTTCGTTTTATTATTAGCTTGTAAAGAAAATGCTTTTATTATTTGTCATTGCTCTGAAAAAAATACTACTAATTTGTAACCACAAAATAGTAGTTCTAGATAATAGCACTTGGGAAAATGATTAACTCTATTACACATGAGCCATCTAAGTAAGGTAAAAAGATGTTATACTTCACCATTTTTCTCATTTTTCTTTTGGATAAAAAAAATTTTGAATGGGCTCCTCTCCGATCATCACCATGGATCAGTGCATACTCCGAGACCATAAATCATTTATAAGGATACAATGAGAAAATGACTAGTTCTCACCGCCCAAGCCAACTTGTATTGGTCACTATTTTCTCTATTATATATTGGTGTTTACAGCATGGTGTCGTCTCATGTTTAGTCAAATGTGTAGTATTTATTTATTTTTACTAATGATCTTACCGTATGTTTTTAACACATGAAATGTAAAAGTGATCAAGTTTTGGAGGTTAAGCTCAAAAAAAAATTATGGAGGTTTGATACGATAATATCTGTCAGCGATCATGTTAGAAGATGATTAATTCGAATATATATCAACCATCACTCTAGGTAACATAAAAATGATGAATCACTTTCTCATGCTTTCTTTTCATGTGTTTGTATTTAGTGAATGGGTATTTTTTTTATCTCACATACGTCATATCATAAATATGTATTATTTAAAAGTTTTATGAATAATCTCACATCTACACACACGCGATTTTAACTCACATGAAAATCAAGTGGTCAAACTATGAAGTTATGGAAATAGTTGGTCATCACACCATATTTGCGTAACGTTCAAAAAGGAATGGAGTAATGACATGTATTTGATTGATAAGGTTCCTCACGCGTTTAGTGCTTTTACTAAGATAATCTCGATGATAATGGAAAAATCTAATGTACAACAAAATGGTTTATTTTGTGAGATTTTGTTGATTTGGATGGTACCTCATTTGTGTATTTTATGAGCCATAATGGGTATTTTCTTCTTCATTTTTTTTTTTAACTTTTCCTCCACTCCCCTATTCCCTCTCTATCTCAAACTTGTCAACCAGAATTTGAACCAAATTCCCTCTCTATCTCAGCCGGAATTCTATGAGGAGGAAGTTCAACTCTCTGACTATTATAATGATTTTCTTTGTTAAATTTGAAAGATCTTGTTGATTTGGATGGTAACTTATTTATTTATCATAAATTCATAATTGTTTTCTTTGTTAAATTTGAAATATCTAGTTGACTTGGATGATAACTTGTTTTTGTATTCATGAATTTATAATGACTTTCATGCCCTTACAAATCGCCTCTAAAAAGTTATCATTTAATTATTTTATGGAAATCATGTTAGAAACCTTCCTTGATATTTTTGAAAAATTTTATTTGAATGTGCTAAGATACTCAAGTAATAAATTTAGTTCATATCAATGAGCACGGCACTAAAATTTAACGAAATTGCTAAAAATATGAAAAAGGGCATATAAACGCTTGGAAGAGAGAGAGAGAGCTTTACCTTCATTGGCCTTTCTATTTTTTTTTTGTAACACATTTGTTACCCTGATTCCAAGTCAAATCTTGTAGCAAGACGAAATTAGGAATTAGAAACACCTTTCCCCAATTTCTATCTATGCATTTATTTCACTTTTGCTAGAGGTTTTTTTTTTTTACAAGTGAGAGATTTTAAATTCAGAATTTTTTACTTACAATCACTCTTATTTCATTATTCAATTCAACCCTTCCTTGTTGAAGGAGGTTGATATTGTAATTACACTTGTTTGGATGTTGGATTATTTGCAATAATTTATTTGCCTGCATTATCAACATACTTTTCAATCATTTTTTTTATCTCACATACATCACATCAAAAAATTGTCATGATATTTTTTAAAAAATTTTCCTAAATAATTTGCTATCCAAACATACTTAAGTGGAATGGTCAAAAACGCTTTCTCAAAAGGCCAAAAAAAAAAGTCAGAAGTCTTCAGGGAGATTGCTGGACACTTGTCAATTGATGGTTGGCAACTGCATGGAGTTAGCAGTTAGATTTGGAATTGGACACACCATACCAACCTCTTTCCTATCGTCTTCACGAATAAAACGCAACCAATCCCTTCTAATTAGGGTTAATTACATTTTTCTAATTGAATTTATTTTATTGATAGCTTTTTGTCTCCCGAACAAAAACTGTCAATGTTGACAATTTCCTTATCCGTCTAGAATTGTAACATAATAAATTGCCCAAATTGCCTAACTATTATGTTGGGACTAAATTGCCTAAACATTTCCTTTTTTTTATTGACAAGAAAATTTCCATTGTGTCTTGCATCTGTAGCTTAAGATGACTTCAATCAATCTAATTAATTCTTCTTTCATGAATAGAAATATAGAATGCCTTGATGTGGTACCTTCGCATTTAGACATAAGCATTTGTGTTACTTTCCATGTTTAATTTCGTCCTACTTAATTGGTCGGTGTCTAGAGATAACGTAACTATTGCTCTAACTACTTAATTAGTCACTTGCTTATAGTAAAAAATACATGATGCGGATTGTGGTTAAACCGTTAAACATAGGGCAGCCGGTCATGCCCAAAATGCAAGTTTTTCCTATTGGGGGCTATTCATTGTTCATATTTTTTCCTTCTCAGTTTTTTTTGGTTGGCTTGTTTTTGGTCAGTTAGTTAGAGCTGTTGAACAGGGTTAATATTGTAAATTCACCATTTTCTATGGGTTCATCTTGTCCTATCAAAGTGACAGAAGAAGTAAGAAAGACTTCTAAAATTAGAGGGATGATAGGTTATATTAAGCCAAATCTCGAGAGTTTTTTGAAATTATCCCTAAAAATAATCTTTAGGCTGTAGATATGACAATTTAATTAGAGCTGTATTTTACTAACTTGACATATTATCCATCAAATAGCACCGGTGAAACCTTGAGTCCTGAGAGTAGTTATAAAATCAAGAGAACAAAATATGAAATGTACAATTCAAAATTTTAGATTTTTACTAACTTGTGAGTTTAAGAATGGACATTCTGACAAGAATTTTTTAAAAAAATTGTATAAGTCAAAAATTGACGATTATTGAATACACGATAGAGCTCCTTTTTCTCTAATACCAAGCATTTTAGATTTATAAGTTTTGGCACTTTCATCGTGTATTCAAATGCATCTCAATAAATTTACCCATCTGCATCGCAAAACTGACAGTTGGTTTGTTTGTATTAATCCTGCCTATCAGATCTATGGGCAGTTTAAATTCTACATATGGTAGTGCTAATCCCATCGGACTAAAACTCATAACAAACTTGTCCTTCTTTCCTTATTCTTTAATTCGAGGTAGAGGTGCCGCGAGTCGAGTCATACTCGAATAGCGCTATACTCCAACTCGAATTCGATAAATTTTCAATATGTTTGAGCTCAAACTCGGCTTGATCGAGCAAAATAACTTGCAGCTCGACTCCACTTGTAGAGATAACACATAAGTTCGAGCTCGATTCAATAAAGCTTGGTACAATTCTCCAACCTTGTCAAGTTCGAGTACTCGAATAAAAACTCAAGCTTTCATGCTTAGTCCAGGCATGATAGTAACAACTCAGATTCCAGAAAGGAAAAAAAAAAAAAAATATTTCAATAAATTTGCAATGAAGCTATAAAATATTGATTTCACTGTAGGCAACTACCAACAAGCTCCTTTTTTTTAAGCCACAAAGCGCTATTTTATCCGTCGCAAAGCTCTGCCAACAAAAGCACAAATTGTCTAAAAATTGCAATTAGATTTTTATATTTTACAAGACAAAATTAGAATTGACAAGAAATTCACTATTTGATAGCAAAATCCCATACAACAACCCAATTTGGTCCCCCAACGGCTACCAGAATAGGGTTTTGGGATTATGTACTGCATCTTAGGGAATCCCATTTTTTCTTTAATTCACAAAAATTTTCTTATTCAAGCTCAATTTCAGAAGCGATAATGGAAAAATTACGGTGATTTACTTACCTTAAATGAGCTCCAAGCCTCCAATGGTTGGTTTCTTCTCCAATCTGAGTTCGTGACGTGACCTACCCATTGCTTGTGCTATTGACTTGACTGAAGCTAACCATTGAAGATTTGAGAGGCAGAAGAAGCAAGCTTTGGTGGTTTTCGTGGGCCAAAGAGTGGCTAAAAGCCAGAGACGGCATTGGCGTAAGGAGAGTGAGAGATGAACAGGTGAGTAGAGACTCGAATGAGGGGGAGCAAAATGAAGGCCGAGAGATTAGAAAGTAGAGCCAACGACAATGAAGACAATGGAGATAGCAATGGCAGCCAGAGATTCAGAGACGACTAGAGAGAGTATAGACGGGTAAATGGCGACAGAGCGTGAGAGAGACGAGTAGCTTCTTTTTTTTTTTCTTGAATTTTGAGCGCTTTTTGTTAAGGTTTTCTCTTTTTAGTATTTTCATAATTATTTTATTACTTTTTTGCCATATACAATGTGTTTGGATTGTAAATTATTTGCCCAAATATATTTGCTTACATCACCATTACAATTTTCAATACACCTTTTTATCTTTCCAGTTATCTTTTTATCTCACATATATCATATCACAAAAAGTGCTATAGTAAAAAAATCTCAAATAACTTACAATCCAAACACACTAATTTTTCTAAAGTGTACAAAACTTTTCAATAAATTTGCTAAAACATAAACCCATAATGTAATTTCATAACTACAATAAATATATTATATAAATAATAGAACTATTTGACTCGATTCATCAAGCACTGAGTAACATACAAGGGAATTCAAACTTGATTTGAAACCTGAAACAAGTAACTCAAGCACGAAATCGAATTTCCTTAACTCGAATTGAGTTGAGCGTTTGACAGAACCAGTTGCAAGTGACTCGGTTTGCCAGCACAATAGAGGGCAACTATACCTTTTTCTTTGGTCATCTTTTTTTTTTTTTGGGTTTAATTAGTGTTGTCCTACAGGCCACAAGTTCCAATTTTAGTTCCATATTAGTCCTTTGTCCAGAAGTTATTTGACTTTTTTTTTTGTCAGCCACGATATATTTGTATAATCTACTTTATGGGGAGGAGAGTCTAAGGAAGCTATTGTAGGGGCTAGTGGATATACAAATCCAATTAGACCAAGAAAATGTTATGACACAATTTTTAGATTTTTTTCGCTGCTGGTGAGGTTTGAACCCTCACCAACAGCCCAAGGAGGGACTAAGTCCCTCCTGGTGGCCACTGAGCCATTGGCCAGTGGTTCCAGAAGTTATTTGACCAAGGTCTCTCTTGCACTATGACCTCTTTACCGTTCCGCCTGATTTGTCTTTTTCAGCCTTTTGTCTCTTCCCATTTTTGACAATTCTGCTCGTAGTAACAAGCACCATAATTCATATTTCTTGAATTCCAAAAAAAATAAATAATAACTTAAGCGTTCTCTGCTTTAAGAACTACGTAACCATCATACTATTATTCTCTGGCTTAGTTTGGGAGTTTAGGATAGGGAAAAAAAAAAAGAAGGGAAAACTTAAGTTACGAGAGAGAAGAGTAAAAAAGAGAAGGGATTGTTATATTATTTGAGAGTTTTAATAATTAGTGGAATGATTTTGGATATGAAAATTATTAAATATTTGTTCAAACCTTTTTAAGGACAAAATAGGCATTTTAAAAATTTTTGACAAGGTTCCTCGAAGTTTCTTTCCATTTTCGTCCAATTTGGATGGAAAAGTTTTGACTCCTGTTCATCATAATAAATCCTTCCATTTTCTTTCTTTTTTATATTACTAAAAACTAACAAACAAATGAAATTTAAGCCTTGTTTGGACAGCCATTTTCCACCAGAAAATTGCGTTGTTTTCCGTAATCACATTTCCCTATTATCTTTTTTTTTCTCACATACATCAAATCGTTACAATAATTTTTCTACAAAAAATCATAGAAAATGCAATCCAAACACAACCTAAGGCCTTGCTTGGATTGAAGGTTTTCGTCGGAAAATATTATCGTTTTCCGTGATCACATTTCCCTATCACCTTTTTCCCTCACATATATCAAATCGCTACAGTAATTTTTCCATGAAAAATGACGGAAAATGCAATCCAAACACAACCTAAACTTTCGTTTCTTTCCCTTTTTTCTAGCCAAATCCTCAATTCCCAAACCAAGCCATAGTGAGTACTAAAGGAGAGGAGTATAGATTGTTTCCCTTCTTCTTCACTCACTTTTTCTTAATGGAGGATTCAATCTGATTGATTAATTTAATCCTTTAGTTGTGGATCATGGGAAACCTATGATTTTCGGTCTTCCAAAGTCATATTGAAAAAGCAATCACACGACATTTGGCAAAACCCTGCTACTCTTTGTTATATTCTTGGCTGCTTGCTAGGTAGGATCATGTAACTTTCAAGCTTTTTGATTTTTCTCTTTTAATGCTTAGAGTCTCTCCGTTGAACTAAAAAAAAAAAATGATAGCATACATTGAAATAGAAAAGTGTCATATTATATCAAGTGCATATTGTTTTCATAAATTTGATCAATCTATTGTCAGCATCAAGCTTTTCATAGAATCCAATATTAACTTATCATAGGTTCGAGATTTTCATACCTTAATACGTATTATTTAGGTATCCTATTTGATAACTCAATTTAACACTTAAAGTTAATAGGTTCAGATCTTAATATGTTCAGTTGCGTTTAGTAACAAAAAATAGAATGTTTAAATTAATTAAGTGGCATTGAATTTTTTAGATAAAATTTGGTTAAAAAAAATAAGTGATAAACTATTCACTTATCACTTAATATGATATATACCAAAATGTATCAAGTTTAGTACTTAACTATTTAATAACATAATGGATTGAGATTTTATATTTTAATTTTATTAAACGCACCCTAAGTTGCTCAAATTTGCGTTTGATAAAATTGAAATCTAAAAAATTTGAATTTATTAAAATTTTAAATTGTTAAATATTAAATCTAATACATTTAAATATATATCACAAATCGCTCAAGAACAAGCTACAATCACCTTGCACAAAAAGAATGAAAAACACAAAAGAATGAAGAGTTCTCCATTTGGATTGACATGTTTTTAAAAAATTAGTTCTTCGAATATATTGCTACACCAATACACAAATAAAAAACTATACAAAAAAATATAATTCATACAATATATAAAAAATAACTCACAAATATATACAAAAAATTTAAAAATAAATTTTACAATATCTTTCACCTATCACCACCACTCACCACTACCACCACTCACCACCGCCATCAACCCATCATCATCATCCTCCTCTTCCTCTTCCCTTCCCCCTCACTCCTAGATCGAGGCCTATAGTCTCCAAATTGGGACTAGAAAATTGTGACATTCTGGTTATGACTAAAGGCCTCGATCTTGTTGAGACCAGATCGAGGGGGAGGAGAGGACCGAGAGGTGGGGGGAAGGGAAGAGAGAAGGGGAAGGGAAGAGGAAGCTAAAGGGGGAGGAGGAAGCTAAAGGTGATTGTAAGTGGTAGTATTAATTTTTAAAAAGTACCATAAAAATATTGTAATTTTAAAAGTTATCCCAAAATATATTTAAAAAAATTCCTCAAAAAATATATTTACAGTAAATTTTTTTAATATATATTATTATAGTAAAATATTTCAAAAACACCATAAAAAATAGCTAATTCAAACGGAATCACAGAAAAGGTGAAAGGTTTACAACAAAAATCAGTCGTGATTGGTAATTTTCTGATCAAGTCACATGCTAAAAAGTGACGATGGTCCACAGTATCCACAGCACCAAATCCTCACCAACCCAGCCGGCCCCTCTCATTCCCCTTAGCTAATTTGCTGTGCGAAGTACGAAAAATGCATGTGAGCAAATACACAGTGCAGCTATCAGAACAGTTCTTTACACCTAAAACACCTTCCATTCTTATCAAAAATCTTTTATGTCACTTCATCTTCACACTCCCTTTAGAATTGTGAACACGATTTTAGGTAATTTTCACTCCCTTTGTCAACACTGCTACATATTACCGTCTCTCGTCTCTCTGCCTTGGCGGGTGCAACTATGAAGAAGTATGCCATTGAAATCTTGGTCTAATATTCAAAATTGAACTTCAGAATAAGAGTTAATTGGTTTAAATTTTACTAGAAGTGCTATTTTTTCACCAACTAGGCCTAGCACAATCAAATTAGAATTGTGCGAATACAATTTTTTTTTTTTTTTTTTTACAAAATGTACAACAAATTTTTAAAATGGTAACTCATTTTACCTTATATAATCATTGTAGGTCTTCCATATGATAGCCAGAATTAGTGGAATCATTATAACAAATATTCGATCTACTTTTACGTAAAACCTTTATTTTATTTCCCTAACCATAGCTACAGTTAACTGATTTATTAAAGAAAAACACCGAAGCGAGAGTGAAAAGGACTATTACTAGAGCGAAACCATGCTAATAAATAATACATATACATTGATGTTTTTGAGATATGGTGTTGTATTTGAAAAATATTTAATCCATATAAATTATTTGAAAAAAAAGCATCGTGTATAGAAATTTTACTGATAATTCACATAGTTGGTGCTTATTCGTACCATAAAATCAACTCTAGAGGTAAAATTCATTGATAATTGTTAAATTGTGAGTTTTTAAGAGTAAAGCTGGTTTATTGTTGCTTTTATCACATAATAGTAGGTGCTTATTTATCACCTTAAATTAAATAAGTTTAGAATGCTAGTAAATAAAAGTAAACAGCAAAGAAAGTAAGAAGGGAAAGCACAGTAGCCGAGCTCTGATCTATCTTGAACAACGGTCACGCCGTTGCCACGCTGCCAACTTCCATTTGCGACTACCCAAACTACCCTCAAATTTTAAAAAATAAAAACGAAAATCTCAACGTCTTTCCTTGAAAATCCAACGGCTCAGATCTCACCACCAACTCATCCTCAAATTCGCATTCCTCATTTTACCCGAAAATTAACGTCTATATTTAATATTCTCCAATCGATTTTTACTGTTACATGCTATTACATTAAACCCTCCTTTCACTTTTGTCTCGCTAGAATTTCAGTTCCTGATCTTCATTTCAAATCTTCAAGAAAATCAAGAGCCCTTGAATTTTTTTTCAGCTCGTCTCAAAAACCCTAATTTCAAAATTGTCAAATTTTCTCCCATGACAAAGTATCGATCTTGGTCAAGAAATGATTGTTAGGACCTACGGCCGTCGGAGCAGAAGCATGGCGACGAGGAACTTTAACGGTGGCGTCTCCGATAAGTCGTTTTCCCAAGAAAGCCCTCCAGATGTTTTCGATTTCACGTTTTCTTCCCAAGGTTCGACCCGCTGGTCTTCGGACCCGTATGGGTTCAGTGATTCGTTGGACCCGTATGGTTTGAATAA